TGGAAAAACAGCCCACTGTAAATTGTTACATAGCCCTGAAGATCATTAATCCAAACCCTAACAGCTATTCAAAATGTACAGACAGTGTAACTCTGCACCTCTCTAATACCTAACCATTCATGTTTGCTCAAGACAAGGAAAAAAAGTTCACTCTACCTGAAGATGAAAATGGAGCCGGATGGGATGGCTGCTGTTTTATGGACTCTTAACCAACCGCGCTATTTTGTGTTTTTTCGCATTGTTTGTAACTTATTTTGTACATAATGTTGCTGCTACCGTCTCTTATGACCGAAAAGAGCTTCTGGACATCAGAACTGCGATTACTCACCTTGAACTGGACTAATAATCTTTCTTTAATGAGTCGGACGAGATGGATTTCCTCCAGACATCCGACAGGGCCCTCATTCCCGTCATTCGCAGTAGAAAGAAAATGAGATATCGCGGAAGGAGATCGGGGTGCTTGGTAAGGAGTCGGCGACGATTGGCTAATCTGCCTTTGCCATCGATACTATTGGCCAATTTACAATCGCTTGATAATAAAGTGGACGAACTACAGGCACGAATATCCATTAAAGACTGTAATATCTTATGTTTCACTGAGTCGTTGCTGAACGAAGACATTAATAACATACAGCTGGTGGGTTATACACTGTATCGGCAGGATAGAGCAGCAGCCTCTGGTAAGACAAGGGGTGGCGGTCTATGTATATTTGTAAACAACAGCTGGTGCACGATATCTAAAGAAGTCTTGAGGTTTTGCTCGCCTGAGGTAGAGTATGTTATGATAAGCTGTAAACCACACTATCTACCAAGAGAGTTTTCATCTATATTCTTCGTAGCTGTCTATTTACCATCACAAACCGATGCTGGCACTAAGACCGCACTCAATGAACTGTATACGGCCATAAGCAAACAGGAGAACGCTCTTCCAAAGGCGGCGCTCCTAGTGGCCGGGGACTTTAATGCAGGGAAACTTAAATCTGTTTTACCTCATTTCTACCAGCATGTTAAATTTGCAACCAGAGGGAAAAAAAACTCTAGACCACTTTTACTCCATACACAGAGACACGTACAAAGCTCTCTGTCGCCCTCCATTTGGAAAATCTGACCACAATTCTATCCTCCTGATTCCTGCTTACAAGCAAAAACTAAAGCAGGAAGCACCAGTGACTTGGTCAATAAAAAAGTGGTCAGATGAAGCAGATGCTAAGCTACAGGACTGTTTTGCAAGCACAGACTGGAATATGTTCCGGGATTCTTCCGATGGCATTGATGAGTACATCACATCAGTCACTGGCTTCATCAATAAGTGCATCGATGACGTCGTCCCCACAGTGACTGTACGTACATACCCCAACCAGAAGCCATGGATTACAGACAACTTCCGCACTGAGCTAAAGGGTAGAGCTGCCGCTTTCAAGGAGCAGGACTCTAACCCGGAAGCTTATAAGAAATCCCGCTACGCCACCCGACGAACCATCAAACAGGCAAAGCGTCAATACAGGACTAAGATAGAATCGTACTACACTGGCTCCGATGCTCGTCGGATGTGGCAGGGGTTGCAAACTATTACAGACTACAAAGGGAAGCACAGCCGCGAGCTGCCCAGTGACACGAGCCTACCAGATGTGCTAAATTACTTCTTTGCTCGCTTCGAGGCAAGTAACACTGAAACACGCATGAGACGACTGTGTGATCACGCTCTCCATAGTCAATGTGAGTAAGACCTTTAAACAGGTCAACATTCACAAGGCCGCAGGGCCAGACGGATTACCAGGACGTGTACTTCGAGCATGCGCTGACCAACTGGCAAGTGTCTTCACTGACATTTTCAACCTCTCCCTGTCTGAGTCTGTAATACCAACATGTTTCAAGCAGACCACCATAGTCCCTGTGCCCAAGAACTCTAAAGTAACCTGCCTACATGACTACCGACCCGTAGCACTCACGTCTGTAGCCATGAAGTGCTTTGAAAGGCTGGTCATGGCTCACATCAACACCATTATCCCAGAAACCCTAGACCCACTCCAATTTGCATACCGCCCCAACAGATCCACAGATGATGCAATCCCTATTGCGCTCCACACTGCCCTTTCACACCTGGACAAAAGGAACACCTATGTGAGAATGCTATTAATTGACTACAGCTCAGCGTTCAACACCATACTACCCTCAAAGCTCATCACTAAGCTAAGGACCCTGGGACTAAACACCTCCCTCTGCAACTGGATCCTGGACTTCCTGACGGGCCGCCCCAGGTGTTAAGGGTAGGTAACAACACATCCGCCACGCTGATCCTCAACACGGTGGCCCCTCAGGGGTGCGTGCTCAGTCCCCTTCTGTACTCCCTATTCACTCATGACTGCATGGCCAGGCACGACTCCAACACCATCATTAAGTTTGCCGATGACACAACAGTGGTAGGCCTGATCACCGACAACGACGAGACAGCCTATAGGGAGGAGGTCAGAGACCTGGCCCTCAACGTGATCAAGACAAAGGAGGTGATTGTGAACTACAGGAAAAAGAAGAGGACCGAGCACGCCCCAATTCTCATCGACGGGGCTGTAGTGGAGCAGGTTGAGAGTTTCAAGTTCCTTGGTGTCCACATCACCAACAAACTAACATGGTCCAAGCACACCAAGACAGTCGTGAAGAGGGCACGACAAAACCTATTCCCCCTAAGGAGACTGAAAAGATTTGGCATGGGTCCTCATATCCTCCAAAGGTTCTACAGCTGCACCATCAAGAGCACCCTGACTGGTTGCATCACTGCCTGGTATGGCAACTGCTCGGCCTCTGACCGCAAGGCACTACAGAGGGTAGTGCGTACGGCCCAGTACATCACTGGGGCCAAGCTTCCTGCCATCCAGGACCTCTATACCAGGCGGTGTCAGAGGAAGGTCCTAAAAATTGTCAAAGACTCCAGCCACCCTAGTCATAGACTGTTCTCTCTGCTACCGCACGGCAAGCGGTACCGGAGCGCCAAGTCTAGGTCCAAGAGGCTTCTAAACAGCTTCTACCCCCAAGCCATAAGACTCCTGAACATTTAATCATATGGCTACCCAGACTATTTGTATTGCCCCCACCCCCCCCCCCCCACCCATTTTACGCTGCTGCTACTCTCTCTGCATAGTCACTTTAATAACTCTACATACATGTACATATTACCTAAATTACCTCGACTAACTGGTGCCCCTGCACATTGACTCGGTACCGGTACCCCTTGTATATATCCTCGCTATTGTTATTTTTACTGCTGCTCTTTAATTATTTGTTACTTTTATTTCGTATTATTTTATATATTTTTTTTATATTTTTTTTATTTTGGTATTCTTTCTTAAAACTGCATTGTTGGTTAAGGGCTTGTAAGTAAGCATTTCACTGTAAGGTGTACACCTGTTGTATTTGGTGCATGTGACAAATACAATTTGATTTTATTTGAGTTAACTGCAAATAGCACTGCTGGGTGATCTGAAAAGTCATAGTCAATTGATCAATAATATAATAATACTCTTAGCAAAAATGTTGATCTTTAATTCACAATCTGTAGAAACTATGAGAGTAGAAAGGTTCAGAACCTTTGTGAAACATCACAGCACAGTTGAAAAATATATGGCAAATAGAAATCAAAACTGGATGCTGTTCAGAGATAGATGGTAGCTGAAGGATGGGACTAAAAACAAACAAAAGATAACTAATGTAAAATATACTGCGTCCGTAAAATATATATAGTATGTATAAGCTGGAAGTAGAAGCATAAGTGTTATTGTCCATTAGTTTACTCCAATTAGGGGAGAGGTTAGGGGAACGTTTGGACACACCTACTCATTCAAGGGTTTTTCTTCATTTTTTACTATTTTATACATTTTAGAATAATAGTGAAGATATCAAAATGATGAAAAAAAACACATATGGAATCATGTAGTGAACAAAACAGTGTTAAACAAATCAAAATATATTTTATATTTGAGATTCTTCAAAATAACCATCCTTTGCCTTGATGACAGCTTTGCACACTCTTGGCATTCTCTCAACCAGCTTCACCTGGAATGCTTTTCCAACAGATGTGTCTGTTACTTGAACTCTGTGAAGCATTTAGTTGGGCTGCAATCTGAGGTGCAGTTAACTCTAATGAACTTATCCTCTGCAGCAGAGGTAACTCTGGGTCTTCCTTTCCTGTGGCAGCCCTCATGAGAGCCAGTTTCATCATAGCGTTTAAAGGTTTTTGCGACTGCACTTGAAGAAACTTTCAAAGTTCTTGAAATGTTCCGTATTGACTGACTTTCTTGTCTTAAAGTAATGATGAACTGTCGTTTCTCTTTGCTTATTTGAGCTGCTCTTGCCATAATATGGACTTGGTCTTTTACCAAATAGGGCTATCTTCTGTATACCACCACTAACTTGTCACAACACAACTGATTGGCTCAAACGCATTAAGAAGGAAAGAAATTCAAATAAACTTTTAAGAAGGCACACCTGTTAATTGAAATGCATTCCAGGTGACTACCTCATGAAGCTGGTTGAGAGAATGCCAAGAATGTGCAAGGCTGTCATCAAGGCAAAGGGTGGCTACTTTGAAGAATCTCAAATATAAAATATATTTTGATTTGTTTAACACTTTTTTGGTTACTACATTCCATATGTGTTATTTGATAGTTTTGATGTCTTCACTATTATTCTACAATGTAGAAAATAGTAAAAAATAAAGAAAAACCCTTGAATGAGTAGTTGTGTCCAAACCTTTGACTGGTACTGTATGTATTTTGTATGTAGGGATTTTGTATGACCGTATGTTGTATGCAGCTCCCACTTGGAAAAGAGACCTGGGCGTAATGTTTAAAAAAGTAAAACTGAAGATGACAAGCTTTTATAAGGTTGAGGATTGTCTATTTGAGGGCCTTTGTGTGCTTAGGCACTCAAATTACATCATGATTGATTCTCAAAAGGTTTCTTTCGTCGAACCCTCCGTTGTCTAATAGGGTTGACCTCAGTTGTTTTCATCCTTTTGAACCTTCTCTCTCATCCTGGATGCTGGTCTCAATCTGATCTCCAAGGGTGGAGAAAGTTGGCCGTTCCTCAGCGCAGTATGCCCAGCACCTCATCATCATACTATAAACCTGACAAATAAAACAATATAAGGTTACAAAAAAAAGCAAAATAATCACTTTCAAACCTGAGGCATCCCTATGTCTATTCCTGTAAAGATGCATCACAGGATAAATATTCATTTATTTCTCTCAAAGTGTAACTTAGTGCACTCCTCTCCACGTATTTAAAAGCATTGGGTAGTTGTAAGCATGGACTAGTTATAGGGAACACGTGCATACCTTAGTGGTGTGTATTGTTATCATGGAAATAAGAAAACAGCTAATAATTGTACTTTGGTAACAATAAACCATTTATATAGTGCTAACCAGTTTTAGTGCAACTATACACAACATTCGGGAGAAAGGACAGATAATTGGTATGCAGGTAGAAAAGCATTCCTTTTGCATTGTCAGCATGTTCCGTTAATCATGTAATTTGTACTATGTGAAACTGGAGGTGAAATTGGATACTCCGGTTTACATTTTACCTTCTCTCCCACTGTGCAAAAACAATCTTTTCAGTCCTACCCTTGGAAATGGATATTATTTGTGATCGAACTGGCCCTACGGCTGTGGAAGGTGTGTCTTACCCTGGAAAGGCAGTATGGTGGGGCAGGCAATCTCCAGTTGTCCTTCAGGATATCAACCAGATGCATTGAAATGGAGGGACCCTGCATGTCATTGCCAATCTCCTGCATGTATAACTTTAGATGTGGACAAGCGGATGGGAGAAAATATGTCAGAATCAAATTCGGCATTTATGGACAGGTAATGCCTGTTTCCTTCCATCTTAATAATTGAGTTGAAATCATTCACAAAAAAATACATATTTTGTATGAATTTAAAGTAATGTAAATGTGGGTGGACTAGAGAGAGCTCAACCTGACAAACATGTTTAATGAGGCCAGTAAAACAATTTATTAAGGCTTGGTTTAGCCACTTACCCTCTTTGGGTTGCTGTTGTGCTCACAATAGGAGAAGAGCTCATGAAGGACGACTCCAAAACTCCAGACATCTGACTTGTGGGAGAATTTGGACTCTGTGATGGATTCTGGGGCATACCTGGGTGTGAAGAGGACATTGGAGCCTTAGAAGACAACTCGCTTTAGAGCTAATTTCCGTAGAAAATGCAGATGCTATCAGCAACACATCAAAGTGAATTTGCCCTTGATTCTTTTCGAACCAGGTGCGTGAACAGAAATGTGCACATACTAATATCATTTTCACACTACTGTGCTGACCCTAACCATACTGTACTTTCACTTTGTTCCAGCAGCATTGATGGATGTGTATCCTGGCTAGCGCAGTACAGTTCGGCTTGGATCAGTAGTGTGAAAAGGTGACAAGTGTCTCAGGAAGAACACTGAAGTAGATCATGTCATTTCCACACGAGTTCAAAGTAAGGGCTGGATTCTATCAGATTCGGGCTAGGCGACTGATAGAATTTGATACTTTAGGAATTGGTATGATTCTCCCATCCGCTTGTCCACATCTATCAGAGGCCAGAATATAGAGATTGTAGAGGAATATAAATATCTGGGTGTCTTTTTGGACAGTAAGCTTCAGTGGAGTAAATGTACAGACCAGATCTACAAAAAGAGCCAACAGAGACTGTACTTTCTAAAAAAGTTGGGTTCTTTTAATATAGACTGTACTATATTGACTCTGTTTTACAAATCCTTTATTGAGAGTATTTTAACTTTTTGTATTGTTTGTTGGTTTGGCAATGCCACTGTCAGTCAGAGAAACATGCTGAGAAGGATTATTACCACAGCAAGTAAGGTACTTGGAGTCAAACAGACAGGCCTGGATGAGATCTTTAAGGTCAGGGCCCTCCGTAAGGCTCACAAAATCATTTTAGACCCAAGTCACCCCCTGTACCTGGACTTTGAATTACTCCCCTCTGGGCGTAGGTATAGGGCACCCCTCAGCAGGAAAAATAGAACGAGACAATCATTTGTGCCAGGTGTGATATCCCTCTTAAATAGCTCGGGCAAATGTTCCCATTGACCCCGTAAGGCCAGCAGGCTAGTCTTTGTTTTAAATGTTTTAAATGTTTTATTTCTTATTTCTTACTTTTATTGGTGCGTGACTGTTATTGAAAGTTGTATTGTCAATCTTGTTTTGTATTTAACGCCACTTTAAATGTGTACATGACACTGCAACAAAATTTCCCCATGGGGACAATAAAGTAAGTAAGTAAGTAAGTAAGCATAGCGGTTGTTTTGACGGTGTCGGAGGTGGAACTGTGTTAGAGCTGTCAAATCCACAAGTGGCTCCTCGCGTTACCTTATCGCGGACACTGCCATTGGATGCAACAAAACCACATCCGACTTTATATCCGTCAAATCCCATGCAGCCGGGTTACAAGTTCAAACACTCTAATGTGTGATGTTCAATAGACGGGTTGATTGTTTAGCAACAAAACCGACGCGTGTGCAACTATGGGGCAAACAGACGTGGTTCGCTTAGATTGTTGATAACATGTAAACTATATTCCGTCTCCAATGTTTATTGAAAACAAATAAAGTTGCACAATGAGCACTTGTCTCAAATACTTAATTACAGTTGTTTGTTAGCAAGCTAGCTAGCCACATTTTTTGCCATATTAGGATTGACTTGACATCAGTCAAAACACCGCAAAACAGGACATGGTATCAAGAACAAGATCAAACGAGCTGAAACTAGCCACTTAGGGAGCGGTCGAAATGTATTGTTACATGGAGGAAGATGGAGGAGGGTCTTGCTTTTTCAAATTCAGTCAGGGGGGAGGGTTTAGTATTTTTTTATTTGGTCCAGGGGAGGGTCATGTAATTTCTAATTAGTTGCTTATTTCACTGATTGCACAAAACATTAAGGACACTTGCTCTTTCCATGACATAGACTAACCAGGTGAATCCAGCTGAAAGCTATGATCCCTTATTGATGTAACTTGTTAAATCCACTTCAATCAGTGTAGCTGAAGGGGGGAGACAGGTTAAAACTCCTAGAGTTGATGTCCGCACCCCCGCGAAAATCTAATTTATATAATTTTAAAAATCCCCATAAAAATCGGTCAATTTAAGCTAGAGATAGCTGTTGTTTTGCATTGGATGCGTCTCAATGCCCCGAATCCATGCATGATGCACTTCCGCAACTGCTATGAAAGTGACAGAGCTAGAGCGGTATTTGTCAGACCATGAGACATCCCGAAAATCGGTCGTCTCACAAAATTATCTGTAGCGTCCGAACGGTTTGGCCTACAAACTATTATTACTATTACGATGGCGTTCTCTGTTTTGTCCCCACAAGCGTCTTGGGACTTGTCTGAAGTTGGTACAATCGATCTGCCAACTTCTGTCTGTAGCGTCCGAACAGTTTGGGCTACACACTAATATGACACTATGACACCTCTGTTGAAAGGTGGGACTCTCACGAACACGTACACATTGGTTGTTTTGCTCTAGGACCCCCACAGGCCTCACAAGGCTGAAGGTCCCCCGGTACCAGTTAAAAAAATTAATGGAAGTATATATGGAGACAGTTTAGTGCCAAAAATAGGGGGTTAAATACATGTTTCCTGATCTTTCTTATATCTCTCAGATATAGGACAGACACTTCTGAACAAACTTCCTTTCGATTTTTGGTGGGGACTATCTGTTATTCAATGCGTTTGTATGTGCTAATAGCTGTAAGGCCAAACTTAAAATTCAAAATCAAATGGCTAAATGATCCTTGGTATGGCCTTTTTAAAACAATTCCATATACAGTGGCAAGAAAAGGTATGTGAACCCTTTGGAATTACCTGGATTTCTGCATAAATTGGTAATAAAATGTGATCTGATCTTCATCTAAGTCACAACAATAGACCATCACAGTGTGCTTAAACTAATAACACAAATTGACGTAAATTATTGTATTTTTCTTGTCTATATTGAATACATCATTTAAACATTCACAGTGTAGGTTGGAAAAGGTATGTGAACCCCTAGGCTACTGACTTCTCCAAAAGCTAATTTGAGTCAGGAGTCCGCTAACCTGGAGTCCAATCAATGAGACGGATTGGAGATGTTGGTTAGAGCTGCCCTGCCCTATAAAAAACACTCACAAAATTTGAGTTTGCTATTCACAAGAAGCATTGCCTGATGTGAACCATGCCTACAACAAAAGAGATCTCAGAAGACCTAAGATTAAGAATTGTTGACTTGCATAAAGCTGGAAAGGGTTACAAAAGTATCTCTAAAAGCCTTGATGTTCATCAGTCCACAAATTGTCTATAAATGGAGAAAGTTCAGCACTGTTGCTGCTCTCCCTAGGAGTGGCCATCCTGCAAAGATGACTGCAAGAGCACAGCTCAGAATGCTCAATGAGGTTAAGAAGAATCCTAGCGTGTCAGCTAAAGACTTACAGAAATTTCTGGAACATGCTAACATCTCTGTTGACGAGTCTATGATACATAAAACACTAAACAAGAATGGTGTTCATGGGACGACACCACTGAAGAAGCCACTGCTGTCCAAAAAAAACATTGCTGCAAGTCTGAAGTTCGCAAAAGAGCACCTGGATGTTCTGTGGACAGATTAAACTAAAGTTGAGTTGTTTGGAAGGAACACACAACACTATGTGTGGAGAAAAAAAGGCACAGCACACCAACATCAAAACCTCATCCCAACTGTAAAATATGGTGGAGGGAGCATCATGGTTTGGGGCTGCTTTGCTGCCTCAGGGCCTGGACAGCTTGCTATCATCGACGGAAAAATGAATTCCCAAGTTTATCAAGACATTTTGCAGGAGAATGTAAGGCTATACTGTCTGCCAATTGAAGCTCAACAGAAATTGGGAGATGCAACAGGACAACGACCCAAAACACAGAAGCAAATCAACAACAGAATGGCTTCAACAGAAGAAAATACGCCTTCTGGAGTGGCCCAGTCAGAGTCCTGACCTCAACCCGATTGAGATGCTGTGGCATGACCTCAAGAGAGCGGTTCACACCAGACATCCCAAGAATATTGCTGAACTGAAACAGTTTTGTAAAGAGGAATGGTCCATAAATTCTTCCTGACCGTTGTGCAGGTCTGATCCGCAACTACAGAAAACGTTTGGTTGAGGTTTTTGCTGCCAAAGGAGGGTCAACCAGTTATTAAATCCAAAGGTTCACATACATTTCCCACCCTGCACTGTGAATGTCTACACGGTGTGTTCAATAAAGACATGAAAACGTATAATTGTTTGTGTATTATTAGTTTAAGCAGACTGTGTTTGTCTATTGTTGTGACTTAGATGAAGATCAGATCAAATTTTATGACCAATTTATGCAGAAATCCAGGTAATTCCAAAGGGTTCACATACTTTCTCTTGCCACTGTAGCTTAGTAGAACCCCCCCCCCCCCCCCTCCTCCCCCAGCTTAGACAGGGCTTAGTCTGTAGAGGGTTAAATATGTTTTTTTACTTGAGACAATTGAGACATAGATTGTGTACAGTGGGGGAAAAAAGTATTTAGTCAGCCACCAATTGCCAATTGTGCAAGTTCTCCCACTTAAAAAGATGAGAGAGGCCTGTAATTTTCACCATAGGTACACGTCAACTATGACAGACAAAATGAGATTTTTTTTCTCCAGAAAATCACATTGTAGGATTTTTTATGAATTTATTTGAAAATAAGTATTTGGTCAATAACAAAAGTTTCTCAATACTTTGTTATATACCCTTTGTTGGCAATGACACAGGTCAAACGTTTTCTGTAAGTCTTCACAAGGTTTTCACACACTGTTGCTGGTATTTTGGCCCATTCCTCCATGCAGATCTCCTCTAGAGCAGTGATGTTTTGGGGCTGTCGCTGGGCAACACAGACTTTCAACTCCCTCCAAAGATTTTCTATGGGGTTGAGATCTGGAGACTGGCTAGGCCACTCCAGGACCTTGAAATGCTTCTTACGAAGCCACTCCTTCGTTGCCCGGGCGGTGTGTTTGGGATCATTGTCATGCTGAAAGACCCAGCCACGTTTCATCTTCAATGCCCTTGCTGATGGAAGGAGGTTTTCACTCAAAATCTCACGATACATGGCCCCATTCATTCTTTCCTTTACACGGATCAGTCGTCCTGGTCCCTTTGCAGAAAAACAGCCCCAAAGCATGACGTTTCCACCCCCATGCTTCACAGTAGGTATGGTGTTCTTTGGATGCAACTCAGCATTCTTTGTCCTCCAAACACGAAGAGTTGAGTTTTTACCAAAAAGTTATATTTTGGTTTCATCTGACCATATGACATTCTCCCAATCCTCTTCTGGATCATCCAAATGCACTCTAGCAAACTTCAGACGGGCCTGGACATGTACTGGCTTAAGCAGGGGGACACGTCTGGCACTGCAGGATTTGAGACCCTGGCGGCGTAGTGTGTTACTGATGGTAGGCTTTGTTACTTTGGTCCCAGCTCTCTGCAGGTCATTCACTAGGTCCCCCCGTGTGGTTCTGGGATTTTTGCTCACCGTTCTTGTGATCATTTTGACCCCACGGGGTGAGATCTTGCGTGGAGCCCCAGATCGAGGGAGATTATCAGTGGTCTTGTATGTCTTCCATTTCCTAATAATTGCTCCCACAGTTGATTTCTTCAAACCAAGCTGCTTACCTATTGCATATTCAGTCTTCCCAGCCTGGTGCAGGTCTACAATTTTGTTTCTGGTGTCCTTTGACAGCTCTTTGGTCTTGGCCATAGTGGAGTTTGGAGTGTGACTGTTTGAGGTTGTGGACAGGTGTCTTTTATACTGATAACAAGTTCAAACAGGTGCCATTAATACAGGTAACGAGTGGAGGACAGAGGAGCCTCTTAAAGAAGAAGTTACAGGTCTGTGAGAGCCAGAAATCTTGCTTGTTTGTAGGTGACCAAATACTTATTTTCCACCATAATTTGAAAATAAATTCATTAAAAATCCTACAATGTGATTTTATGGATTTTATTTCCTCAATTTGTCTGTCATAGTTGACATGTACCTATGAGGAAAATTACAGGCCTCTCTCATATTTTTAAGTGGGAGAACTTGCACAATTGGTGGCTGACTAAATACTTTTTTCCCCCACTGTATGTGTGCCATTCAGAGGGTGAATGGGCAAGACAAAATATTGAAGTGCCTTTGAACGGGGTATGGTAGTAGGTTTGTGTCAAGAACTGCAACGCTGATGGGTTTTTCACACTCAACAGTTTCCCGTGTGTATCAAGAATGGTCCACCACCCAAAGGACATCCAGCCAACTTGACACAACTGTGGGAAGCATTGGAGTCAACATGGGCCAGCATCCCAAAGAATTGAGGCTGTTCTGAGGGCAAAAGGGGGCTGCAACTCAATTTTAGGAAGGTGTCCAATATTAGGAAGGTGTCTCGATGTGTGCCCGATGCTGCCCCTCATCTCTGATTCTCTGCTTGGCGCGCAATGTCAAGTGCGCCTAGTTTGGTCTCAATCAAATGATCCATAGCCTATATTATAGGCAATAGGCCTAGGCTATGCGAAGAGCATGCTCATGTAACCGGTGTGAAATGGCTAGCTAGTTAGCGGTGCGCGCTAGTAGCATTTCAATCGGTGACGTCACTCGCTCTGAGACCTTGAAGTAGTTGTTTCCCTTGCTCTGCAAGGGCAGCGGCTTTTGTGGAGCGACGGGTAACGGTGCTTCGAGGGTGACTGTTGTCGATGTGTGCAGAGGGTCCCTGGTTCGAGCCCAGGAAGGGGCGAGGAGAGGGACGGAAGCAACATTGTTACATTGATGCTGTTGACCCGGATCACTGGTTGCTGCGGAAAAAGGAGGAGGTCAAAGGGTGGTGAGTGTAACCGGTGTGAAATAATAATAATATGCCATTTAGCAGACGCTTTTATCCAAAGCGACTTACAGTCATGCGTGCATACATTTTTTTTTGTTGTGTATGGGTGGTCCCGGGGATCGAACCCACTACCTTGGCGTTACAAGCGCCGTGCTCTACCAGCTGAGCTACAGAGGACCACAGAAATGGCTAGCTAGTTAGCGGTGCGCGCTAGTAGCATTTCAATCGGTGACGTCACTCGCTCTGAGACCTTGAAGTAGTTGTTTCCCTTGGCTTTTGTGGAGCGACGGGTAACGGTGCTTCGAGGGTGACTGTTGTCGATGTGTGCAGAGGGTCCCTGGTTCAAGCCCAGGTAGGGGCAAGTAGAGGGACGGAAGCAAAACTGTTACACTCAGTGAAGCAAGAAAATTGACTTCCTGTCAAAATGCAAAAAAAGTGCATATAGGCCTAGTTGATGATTTGCGGCTACTGTGTTTCTCGAATTCATTGATGGATCGAAAATATCTCCATTGCTGCAGCATGCGCTCATTTGCTGTCATGCTCTGTTGTGGAAATAAAAAAGATTCTGCTCATCTCCAGTCATCTAAAATGACGTAGAATTCTCGGACCGCAAATAAGATGCTAGATTCATGCAGTGCTTTTATTATAATGGAGATCTTTTCACTCTTGTCCGCGGTGGTCTGTGAATCCACAACCTTCTGGCTACTTTGCCATGCAATGCTAACAAAACAAAGAACAGTTTCTAAAACGGTATATCTAAGACTCTGGTCTGTCCTAAGAGTAAGGCTAAACGGTAGGCATGTTCTCTGCTATCCACTTTGTTTTAATTATTATTTTGGGTATAGGGTAGCGTCACTTGTTTTTTTTTCAAGTGTTCAGGGAGGGTCAGGTGAAAATATATTTTACTGAAGAGAGGGCCATCCATTTTTATTTCAGAGAGGTCCGATTTTCTCCAGGTATCCCTCATTATAAATAACGAACAGTCCCTTACGATTCACCACATGGCAGTTTCTTGTCATTGTTGCTAGCTATATGGCCATCCAGAACCATAACAACACACAGTGAAAACAGGTTTTTAGACATTTTTGCAAATGTATACAAAATAGAAGACAGAAATACCTTATTTACATAAGTATTCATACCCTTTGCTATGAGACTCGAAATTGAGCTCAGGTCAATCTGGTTTCCATTGATCATCCTTGAGATGTTTTTACAACTTGATTGGAGTCCACCTGTGGTATATTAAATTGATTGGACATGATTTGGAAAGGCACACACCTGTCTATATAAGATCCCACGGTTGACAGTGCATGTCAGAGCAAAAACCAAGCCATGCAGTCGAAGGAATTGTCCGTAGAGCTCCTTGACAGGATTGTGTCGAGGCACAGATCTGGGAAGGGTACCAAAACATTTCTGCAGCATTGAAAATCCCCAAGAACACAGTGGCCTCCATCATTCTTAAATAGAAGAAGTTTGGAACCACCAAGACTCTTCCTAGAGCTGGCCGCCCAGCCAAACTGAGCAATCGGGGAAGAAAGGCCTTGGTCAGGGAGGTGACCAAGAACCCAATGGTCACTCTGACAGAGCTCCAGAGTTCCTCTGTGGAGATGGGAGAACCTTCCAGAAGGACAACCATCTCTGCAGCACTCCACCAATCAGGCCTTTATGGTAGAGTGACCAGATGGAAGACCTCCTCAGTAAAAGGCACATGACAGCCCGCTTGGAGTTTGCCAAAGGCACCTAAAGGACTCTCAGACCATGAGAAACAAGATTATCTGGTCTGATGAAACAAAAATTGAACTCTTTGGCCTGAATGCCAAGCGTCACGTCTGGAGAAAACCTGGCACCATCCCTACAGTGAAGAATGGGGGTGGCAGCATCATGCTGTGGGGATGTTTTTCAGCAGCAGGGACTGGGAGACTTGAGGGAAAGATTGAGGGAAAGATGAACGGAGCAAAGTACAGAGAGATCCTTGATGAAAACCTGCTCCAAAGCGCTCAGGACCTCAGACTGGAGCGAAGGTTCACCTTCCAACAGGACAATGACCCTAAGCACACAGCCAAGACAACGCAGGAGTGGCTTCGGGACAGGTCTCTGAATGTCCTTGAGTGGCCCACCAGAGCCTGGACACCAGAGCCCGCACATCTCTGGAGAGACCTTAAAATAGCTGTGAAGCGACGCTCCCAATCCAACCTGACAAAGCTTGAGAGTTTCTGCAGAGAAGAATGGGAGAAACTCCCCAAATACAGGTGTGCCAAGCTTGTAGCGTCATACTCAAGAAGACTTGAGGCTGTAATCGCTGCCAAAGGTGCTTCAACAAAGTACGGAGTAAAGGGTCTGAATACTTATGTAAATGGGATATTTCAGTGTTTTATTTTTAATACATCTGCAAAAATTTCTAAAAACCTGTTTTTGCTTTTTCATTATGGGGTATTATGTGTAGATTGATGAGGGGGGGAAAACAATTTAATACATTTTTTAATAAGGCTGTAACGTAACAAAATGTGGAAAAAGTCAAGGGGTCTGAATAGTTTCCGAATGCACTGTAAGAGCAGCTGCTCACCGATTTGTCAGATAACACAGTTACACCTCCACCACTGCCGATCGGATTGACTCGAGGCCTAAATTCCAAATGCAGTGGCAGTTACCAGAAAATTGGGCTTTCTCCAGGATGTGTTACTCTGTAGTACTCCTTGTCAAAGGGAATGATCTTGGTCAAGCCAAAATCAGCTATTTTGACCAGTGTGTCACTTGCAACCAGAATGTTCCTCGCAGCTAGATCCCGGTGCACGTAACGCATGCTCTGCAAGTACTCCAATCCCTAAGTGTGCAAAACAACACAAATTAGGTTTTTCCCCTATACAATGTCTAGAGATAGACAATCTTGCATGGAATTGCCAGAATTTTGTGATTAGAATTGGGCTCGTACTTTACAGATTTGAGAGGCAAAGAGCAACATCCGCCTGCTGTTGACGTGCTGCCGGTTCTTCTCCAGGTATCCAATCAGACTGCCATAGGGCAAATACTCCATCACCAGGCTCATGCTTAGGCGACCTACCCGAAATGTGGATGAACATGCAGAGCAGAGAGTTAACACAAACATTCCTTCCTTGAAACAGATATCATTTGCATATAGGCTGAAGGTTCTTCCTTCTACTACAGTACCTAATCATTTACATGTTTGTCCAAGACTATGAAGAGAAAGTCCTTTCTATAAAGAAAGAAGTTCCCTCTGGGAGAAATAAATATTTATATTCTATTCAGTGTGTTGACTAAGTACAAATAACAGAGAGGGTCAATTGAAGAACCTAATAAAGATATGGTTTACAAAGACAGTTTTTAGATGGCCTAAAGCTTTCAAAGGATGGTATTTCAGCTATGATTATGAAGATGACAAAGATTTCAGCCCATTTTATGGTCCACTGACTGTTGTATGGTCCACTGAATATTGCATGGTCCATTGACATTGACTGAAAAGGATACCGGAAAGCCCCAACAAACTTAAAATATCACTTTGTCTAGATACACTTGATGATAGAACGGGTATGTTTGCCATGATATCAACTGTGGTACGGCTGCAAACCACCTCGATTTCATACAGCCTAATAAATGGGGTCATGGTGTAAAAATGAAGTTGTATGTTTTTACCCATGCTGTAGCAGACACCCCTGTATTTGACGATGTAGTCACAATGCAGGGAGCGAATGGTGTTGATCTCCTTTTGAAAATCATCCAGGTTTGACTGCTTGTTGGGCTGTAGCTTCTTCACAGCAATCAGCTCGCCTGTGTTGTCCCCCAGAGGATCATATCGGCACAGCTCAACACTGCCAAAGTTCCCCTACAAACAATGAGCACAAAACATTATGAACACCTGCTCTTTCCATGACACAGACTGACCAGGTGAATTCAGGTAAAAGCTATGATCCCTTATTGATGTCACTTGTTAAATCCACTTCAATCACTGTAGATGAAGGGGACGATACAGGTTAAAGAAGGATTTTTAAGCCTTGAGACAATTGAGACATGGATTGTGTATGTGTGCCATTCAGAGGGTGAATGGGCAAGACAAAATATTTAAGTGCCTATGGTAGTAGGTGCCAGGCGCACCGGTTTGTGTCAACAACTGCAACGCTGCTGGATTTTTCACGCTCAACAGTTTCCCGTGTGTATCAAGAATGGTCCACCACCCAAAGGACATCCAGCCAAATTGACACAACTGTGGAAAGCATTGGAGTCAACATGGGCCAGCATCCCTGTGGAACGCTTTCGACACCTTGTAGAGACCATGTCCCGACGAATTGAGGCTGAACTGAGGGCAAAATAGGGGGGGTGCAACTCAATATTAGGAAGGTGTTCTTCATGTTTTGTTCACTTACTGTATATTAAACATGTACTGTAATATACAACAGGGTCGGGGTGTTTGCATTTTAACCTAGTCAATTCTGGGATTGAGTTGTAAATTAAATGAATTTGATGTATTGAAAACTGTCAGAATTGAAAGTAATAGACACCTATCCAATTCCTGAATTAAAGTTATGTTGAAATAATATGTCTAAAATGTTTTGTTCAGAATATAGTGTGGATTGCAGTAGGATAGGAGAACACTGCCCAGCTAGCACATAACGTTCTTAGAACCATATGTTTCTTGGAGCTTGATGGAAGCTTGGTTTTCCTATTGTTATTTTGCATACAACATTCCAACAAAGTTCAGGAATGGTGCAGGATACCCAGCTAGCACATAACGTTCTGAAAACCATATGTTTCTTAGGTGGGAATTTCAGTACTTCAGTATATTCTGAAAGTATTCAGACCCCTTGACTTTTTCCACATTTTGTTACGTTACAAACTTTCTTTTTTATCCCTCATCCATCTACACACCATACCCCATAATGACAACGCAAAAACACATTTTTTGAATTTTTTGAAAGTGTATTAAAAATTAAAAACGGAAATATAACATTTACATAAGTATTCAGACCCTTTACTCAGTACTTAGTTGAAGCATCTTCGGCAGCAATTACAGCCTCGAATCTTCTTGGGTGAGACACTACAAGCATGACACCTGTTGGTATGTAATGGTGCCGGAGGGGATGGCTAATTTTTCTTTAATGAGTCGAACGAGAGGGATTTGCTCCAGACACCCGACAGGGCCCTCATTCCAGTCATTCGCAGTAGAAAGAAAATGAGATATCGCGGAAGGAGATCAAGCTGCCTGGTAAGGAGCCGGCGACGAGTGGCTATTCTGCCTTTACCATCGATACTATTGGCCAACGTACAATCGCTTGATAATAAAGTGGATGAACTACAAGCACGTATGTCCTACCAATGGGACTTTAAAAACTGTAATATCTTATGTTTCAACGAGTCGTGGCTGAACGACGACATGAATAACATACAGCTGGTTGGTTATACACTGTATCAGCAGGATAGAACAGCAGCCTCTGGTAAGACAAGGGGTGGCGGTCTATGTATATTTGTAAACAACAGCTGGTGCACGATATCTAAGGAAGTCTCAAGGTTTTTCTCGCCTGAGGTAGAGTATCTCATGATAAGCTGTAGACCACTCTATCTACCAAGAGAGTTTTCATCTATATTATTCGTAGCTGTCTATTTTCCACCACAAACCAATGCTGGCATTAAGACCGCACTCAATGAACTGTATACGGCCATAAGCAAACAGGAAAACGCTCATCCAGAGGCGGCGCTCGTAGTGGCCGAGGACTTTAATGCAGGGAAACTTAAATCCGTTTTACGTAATTTCTACCAGCATGTTAAATGTGCAATCAGAGGGAAAAAAACTCTAGACCACATTTACTCCACACACAGAGACGCGTACAAAGCTCTCCCTCGTCCTTCATTTGGCAAATCTAACCGTAATTCTATCCTCCTGATTCCTGCTTTCAAGCAAAAACTAAAGCAGGAAGCACCAGTGACTCGGTCAATAAAAACGTGGTCAGATGAAGCAGATGCTAAGCTACAGGACTGGTTTGCTAGCACAGACTGGAATATGTTCCAGGATTCTTCCGATGGCATTGATGAGTACACCACATAAGTTACTGGCTTCATCAATAAGTGCATCAATGACGTCGTCCCCACAGTGACTGTATGTACATACCCCAACCAGAATCCATGGATTACAGGCAACATCCCCACTGAGCTAAAGGGTAGAGCTGCCACTTTCAAGGAGCAGGACTCTAACCCAGAAGTTTATAAGAAATCCCGCTATGCCCTCCGACGAACCATCAAACAGGCAAAGCATCAATACAGGACTAAGAGCGAATCGTACTACATCGGCTCCGAGCTCGTCGGATGTGGCAGGGCTTGCAAACTAATACAGACAACAAAGGGAAGCACAGCCGCGAGCTGCCCAGTGACACGAGCCTACCAGACGAGCTAAATTACTTCTATGCTCGCTTCGAGGCAAGTAACACTGAAACACGCATGAGAGCACCAGCTGTTCTAGACGACTGTGTGATCATGCTCTCCATAGCCGATGTGAGTAAGACCTTTAAACAGGTCAACATTCACAAGGCCGCAGGGCCAGACGGATTACCAGGACGTGTACTCCGAGCATGCGCTGACCAACTGGCAAGTGTCTTCACTGACATTTTCAACATGTTGGTATTACAGACCCTGTCTGAGTCTGTAATACCAACATGTTTCAAGCAGACCACCATAGTCCCTGTGCCCAAGAACACTAAGGTAACCTCCCTAAATGACTACCGACCCGTAGCACTCACGTCTGTAGCCATGAAGTCCTTTGAAAGGCTGGTCATGGCTCACATCAACACCATTATCCCAGAAATCCTAGACCCACTCCAATTTGCATACCGCCCCAACAGATCCACAGATGATGCAATCTCTATTGCGTTCCACACTGCCCTTTCACACCTGGACAAAAGGAACACCTATGTGAGAATGTTATTCATTGACTACAGCTCAGCGTTCAACACCATAGTGCCTTCAAAGCTTATCACTAAGCTAAGGACCCTGGGACTAAACACCTCCCTCTGCAACTGGATCCTGGACTTCCTGACGGGCCGCCCCCAGATGGTAAGGGGTAGGTAACAACACATCAGCCACACTGATCCTCAACACGGGGGCCCCTCAGGGGTGCGTACTCAGTCCCCTCCTGTACTCCCTGTTCCCTCATGACTGCATGGCCAGGCACGATTCCAACACCATCATTATGTTTGCCGATGACACAACAATGGTAGGCCTGATCACTGACAACGACGAGACAGCCTATAGGGAGGAGGTCAGAGACCTGGCCATGTGGTGCCAGGACAACAACCTCTCTCTCAACGTGATCAAGACAAAGGAGATGATTGTGGACTACAGGAAAAAGAACGCCCCCATTCTCATCGACAGGGCTGTAGTGGAGCAGGTTGAGAGCCTCAAGTTCCTTGGTGTCCACTATCATTTGTTTTTCAACAGGACAATGACCCTAAACACACCTCCAGGCTGTGTAAGGGCTATTTGACCAAGAAGGAGAGTGATGGAGTGCTGCATCAGATGACCTGGCCTCCACAATCACCTGTCCTCAACCCAATTGAGATGGTTTGGGATGAGTTGAACCGCAGAGTGAAGGAAAAGCAGCCAACAAGAGCTCAGCATTTGTGGGAACTCCTTCAAGACTGTTGGAAAAGCATTCCTCATGAAGCTGGTTGAGAGAATGCAAAGAGTGTGCAAAGCTGTCATCAAAGCAAAGGGTGGCTATTTTGAAGAATATAAAATATAACATATATTTTGAATTGTTTAACACTTTTTTGGTTACTACATGATTCATATGTGTTATTTCATAGTTTCGATGTCTTCACTATTATTCTACAATGTAGAAAATAGTAAAAATAAAGAAAAACCATGGAATGAGTAGGTGTGTCCAAACTTTTGACTGGTATTGTATATATATACAGTGGGGAAAAAAAGTATTTAGTCAGCCACCAATTGTGCAAGGTCTCCCACTTAAAAAGAGGAGAGAGGCCTGTAATTTTCATCATAGGTACACGTCAACTATGACAGACAAAATGAGAGAAAAAAATCCAGAAAATCACATTGTAGGATTTTTAATGAATTTATTTGCAAATTATGGTGGAAAATAAGTATTTGGTCAATAACAAAAGTTTCTCAATACTTTGTTATATACCCTTTGTTGGCAATGACACAGGTCAAACGTTTTCTGTAAGTCTTCACAAGGTTTTCACACACTGTTGCTGGTATTTTGGCCCATTCCTCAATGCAGATCTCCTCTAGAGCAGTGATGTTTTGGGGCTGTCGCTGGGCAACACAGACTTTCAACTCCCTCCAAAGATTTTCTATGGGGTTGAGATCTGGAGACTGGCTAGGCCACTCCAGGACCTTGAAATGCTTCTTACGAAGCCACTCCTTCGTTGCCCGGGCGGTGTGTTTGGGATCATTGTCATGCTGAAAGACCCAGCCACATTTCATCTTCAATGCCCTTGCTGATGGAAGGAGGTTTTCACTCAAAATCTCACGATACATGGCCCCATTCATTCTTTCCTTTACACGGATCAGTCGTCCTGGTCCCTTTGCAGAAAAACAGCCCCAAAGCATGATGTTTCCACCCCCATGCTTCACAGTAGGTATGGTGTTCTTTGGATGCAACTCAGCATTCTTTGTCCTCCAAACACGACGAGTTGAGTTTTTACCAAAAAGTTCTATTTTGGTTTCATCTGACCATATGACATTCTCCCAATCCTCTTCTGGATCATCCAAATGCACTCTAGCAAACTTCAGACGGGCCTGGACATGTACTGGCTTAAGCAGGGGGACACGTCTGGCACTGCAGGATTTGAGACCCTGGCGGCGTAGTGTGTTACTGATGGTAGGCTTTGTTACTTTGGTCCCAGCTCTCTGCAGGTCATTCACTAGGTCCCCCCGTGTGGTTCTGGGATTTTTGCTCACCGTTCTTGTGATCATTTTGACCCCACGGGGTGAGATCTTGCGTGGAGCCCCAGATCGAGGGAGATTATCAGTGGTCTTGTATGTCTTCCATTTCCTAATAATTGCTCCCACAGTTGATTTCTTCAAACCAAGCTGCTTACCTATTGCAAATTCAGTCTTCCCAGCCTGGTGCAGGTCTACAATTTTGTTTCTGGTGTCCTTTGACAGCTCTTTGGTCTTGGCCATAGTGGAGTTTGGAGTGTGACTGTTTGAGGTTGTGGACAGGTGTCTTTTATACTGATAACAAGTTCAAACAGGTGCCATTAATACAGGTAACGAGTGGAGGACAGAGGTGCCTCTTAAAGAAGAAGTTACAGGTCTGTGAGAGCCAGAAATCTTGCTTGTTTGTAGGTGACCAAATACTTATTTTCCACCATAATTTGCAAATAAATTCATTAAAAATCCTACAATGTGATTTTCTGGATATTTTTTTCTCAATTTGTCTGTCATAGTTGACGTGTACCTATGATGAAAATTACAGGCCTCTCTCATCTTTTTAAGTGGGAGAACTTGCACAATTGGTGGCTGACTAAATACTTTTTTCCCCCACTGTATAATAACCATCATATCGAAGTAAACTTCGAGTCACGTGATGACATGGTGTGTGGTTCTCCCACTACGACTCGGGAAACTATGCAGTTTATTAGGCTACAGATTAAATAAATTATGATGAACTTTACAGGGTGGTGAAAGTGCACGGTATGAGCTTGACGCTCCTTTCCAATAAATGTTGAGGGTCTTATTCTGGTGACATGATGATCGATGCTTGACTGCCTTTGACCCAAAAAAATATTCTCGCTCTTATCCATGATAATCTCATGTAGACTAATTTACCGGCAAGAGCCTACCCGCTCTGTATCTGCGAGCGCACGTGCCAAGACCAGAGTAGGCACATTTTCTATTTAATGCAACAGTTTGTGACCAAACTATCGGTAGAGTTGAAAATCCGTTGGGAACATTTGGTAAATGACAACTTAAGCGAAAAAGTACATTTTGTGTGCATTACTTCATCATGCACTGATTTTTATCTGCAACAAGTCAGTTTGGTGTAATCACACCACTGGTGGGAAAATGCACATATTTTCTTTATGCAGATTTTTGAATTTTCGCATTAAAATCTGTTGCCAATTGGATGGAAACCTAGCTAGCAGTTCGAATCTCACTTACGCTTGTCACAATAAAAAATGTATGTGTTTGCATGATTAATGTCTAAGCAAATTAATTTCCATGTGTCCTATCTGTGCTTGGAGTTCAAAACAGTTAACCCAAACTAAGCTAGCAGTGTTATTTAAAGTCTTATTGAAACATTCATTGAACGTTATAAATAACCTTTACATTTCATTCAAAACATTTAGAGAATGTTCTCAGAACGTTATTTAATTACCTTAAAATAATCTAGAATCTCTGTTCTCAGAACATTAATAAAACCTCCCAGGAAAACATTCAGGGAACCATAGTAAAATTCTCAGAACCTCCCTGCAACTTAAAAATGTACATTCCCAGAACAGGCAAAATTTTCACTTTCATTCTCAGAATGTTTATAAAACCAAAAATATATGTTCCCAAAACTTCCAAGGAACCAGATGTGCTAGTTGCGTGTCCTTTTGTGGTACATGATAAAAAGTGAAGTGATAATTTCTAGGGATTTGTTCCAATACTGTTACATAGCATTTTTTTCTCATTCTCTTCTTTCATTCGCCAAATCTTATCTGAAAACAGATGGTCAGTAATTTCAACCGCTTGACCCTGCCACTGTTTGGTGAGCCAGGGGATGGGGAAATGCAACCACTCTCAAAGTCATAGCTATGGATGCAAGGACTGAAAGTATGAAATTGATCGTCATAGCTTTTTAAAGCTATACTTTGTTAGTTTACAAAGACTCAATTGACAACAAAAGAGACGAGGATAGGAAGCCACAGATTGTAGGAATGCAGCCCATGCAGATGACAGGTTACCTTCCCCAGAGGAGAGATGTAGCGCAGGTGTCTCTCCTCATACACTGATTGGTCTTGCGGGTGGGAGGGGCTTAATGCTCTCCAGAAGCTGTCGCCATCAGGGAGAGCCTCTGCAGCGTGGAGTATCACGTAATCTGCGGAAGAGGATGTCACTACTAATGCCTTTCATAAATCCGCCTTACAAATAGGGCCAGATCGAAAGGTCTTTGCCTCAGAGCAAAGATATCCTCCAAATTAAAGAAATAAAAGGTTAATCAGCAAGTAGAGGTCAGCTTAAGGTAAAGAGCCAATTTCATGTTTCATAGCTTTGTGTGTTGTGATTTTACTCAGCTCTACAAATCACAAGTGTATTTATGCAAACAGCACTTCTGCAAACAGGACTTGGTTCACTTAAAATTTGAAAGCTTTCCCCTGTTGTATTCAGGGAATAAAGGTAGAGCAAACAGGCCAATAAAAGAAAGGGACTAAAGGACAGTTTTGGGGTTAGCTGTGTTTTACTAAACACATTCCCATCAGAAAAATAACAGGTGGAAACTCTACATCTGGACCACATCAGGTGTTTTAAGTAACATAGTTTGGGTTCAATAGTGAGAAGTACCTGACGTTATCAGACTGTTCAGTTGACGAATGATGCTCCGGCAGGAGGGCCTGAATGCAGGCTTGTAGTTCATACACTGGCTGATGAGATCTGCCAGTTCTGTCCACTCTGAGGAGGGCAACTGCTTGTAGGTCTCGTAAAACTGCAGCTTCTGTTAAAAAAACGCAGAGGTTAATTCAACGTAGTGGGTTTATACAAAAAACCTCAACGCTGTGTGAATTTGAGTGGAATTTGACTACATAAAAATGAAATAAAACGCGTACAAATTCATCAGATGGGATTAATGTACGTTTAGTACTCAGGATGTTGACAAAGCCTAGGAGAAATAACAGTTGGCAATTTCATGTGGGTTTTATAGAGAAAATAAAAAGCTTTTCCTGAAACTCGGGTGATAATAGGTTTCATGAATAAACTATTTTGGCCCTTAACCACAAGGTAAGCCAATATCAGATACTGTACATGGTTGTGTTTGTGGTAGAAAATGGTAGAACTGTACCCTTTCTAGGTCCAGGCCCTGTAGTGGTGCCTTTCCTCCATTGAATATCTCCCATAGCGTGGCACCAAAGCTCCACTTATCACACTCCGGCTCTAGCCTCTCTGGAGCCTCCAGCACTTCTGGAGCTACCCATGGAATCCTGTCTAGCACTACTGTACGCGCACACACGAGCACGAGCACACACACACATACACACACACACACCACACACACACACACAGTAGATAAAGAACATGAACAGTTAAAGCATTAGGTTCTTAAATAAATGAAATCACTTTTTGGAGGCCAATTCCAATGCATGTACAATTTCTGTATTACAGTATGACTGTTTACCATCTCTGCCCAACATTGCCACGTTGATGCCCGGGTCACTCAGCTTGATGAAAGGAGAGCTACCTTGGGATGCGTCTCCCTCTCTGGCCAGGAGCAGATTTTTGGCACAAATATTTCCGTGAATAATGTTCTTCTCTTCCTATTTGATGAAGGAACAAAAATTGTAACACTTTATTTTTAATAGATTTCAACAACCAATGAGCAAACAGTAGCAGTTTAACTAGTGTAAACACTAGTATTGACACTTAAAGGAAAGATTGCAAGATATACAGTATATTCCACAAATCTAACAATGTAGATTGATTATATTCCAACTAAATGGTCTTTATGCCAAAGCTGATTAAAAAATATATACAGTACCAGTCAAAGGTTTGGACACACCTACTCATTTAAAGGATTTTCTTTATTTTTACTATTTTCTACATTGTAGAATAATAGTGAAGACATCACAACTATGAAATAACACATATTTGAATCATGTAGTAACCCAAAAAGTGTTAAACAAATCAAAATATATTTGAGATTTGAGATTCCTCAAAGTAGCCTTGATGACAGCTTTGCACACTCTTGGCATTCTCTCAACCAGCTTCACCTGGAATGCTTTTCCAACAGTCTTGAAGGAGTTCCCACATATGCTGAGCACTTGTTGGCTGCTTTTCCTTCACTCTGCGGTCCAACTCATCCCAAACCATCTCAATTGGGTTGAGGTCGGGTGATTGTGGAGGCCAGGTCATCTGATGCAGCACTCCATCACTCTCCTTCTTGGTCAAATAGCCCTTACACAGCCTGGAGGTGTGTTGGGTCATTGTCCTGTTGAAAAACAAATGATAGTCCCACTAAGCGCAAACCAGATGGGATGGCGTATCGCTGCAGAATGCTGTGGCAGCCATGCTGGTTAAGTGTGCCTTGAATTCTAAATAAATCACTGACAGTGTCACCAACAAAGCACCCCCACACCATAAACCTCCTCCTCCATGCTTCACGGTGGGAACCACACATGCAGAAATCATCTGTTCACCTACTCTGCGTCTCACAAAGACACGGCGGTTGGAACAAAATATCTCACATTTGGACTCATCAGACCAAAGGACATATTTCCACCGGTCTAATGTCCATTTCTTGTGTTTCTTGGCCCAAGCAAGTCTCCTCTTCTTATTGGTGTCCTTTAGTAGTGGTTTCTTTGCAGCAATTAGACCATGAAGGCCTGATTCACGCAGTCTCCTCTGAACAGTTGATGTGTTTGTTACTTGAACTCTGTGAAGCATTTATTTGGGCTGCAATTTCTGAGGCTGGTAACTCTAATGAACTTATCCTCTGCAGCAGAGGTAACTCTGGGTCTTCCTTTCCTGTGAAAGTCCTCAGTTTCATCATAGCGCTTTATGGTTTTTGCAACTGCACTTGAAGAAACTTTCAAAGTTCTTGACATTTTCCGGATTTCCTGGACTGTCGTTTCTCTTTGCTTATTTTAGCTGTTCTTGCCATAATATCGACTTGGTCTTTTCACAAATAGGGCTATCTTCTGGATACCACTACTACGTCACAATACAACTGATTGGCTCACACGCATTAAGAAGGAAAGAAATTCCACAAATTAACTTTTAACAAGGCACACCTGTTAATTGAAATGCATTCCAGGTGACTACCTCATGAAGCTCGTTGAGAGAATGCCAAGTGTGCAAAGCTGTCGTACTGGTACTGTATATATATTGTATATTATACACTTCTATTTTTGCCATTTGAATTACATTTATCAAAAACTCATATACACTCTTAGAAAAAAGTTTGTGGTAGCCATTATACCTGGATTTACTGTTACTGTCAGTAGCTGAGTGTAGATGCGGTGAGGAATCAAGCGCAGGAAACACGGGCGTTCGTCAACAGACTTTAGTCACAAAAATAACAGCACCAAACAGGCGAACAGCCAACCCAACCGGGAGGCAAAATACAAAGTACGTACAACACACACAGTGTGTAAAAATGACGATAGCGCACACAGTGCGGACTCTCGGAAAAACAACAATCCTGAGAGTAATATCAAAGAGCAACAGCTTGACAAATAAACAATACCACATAACACCTGCCCCCACACACGAAAACTAAATAGGCAACCAAATCAAACACTAACAAGGGACAGGTGTACAAACAGACAAAACCAAACAAACATGAAACATCGAACGGTGGCAGCTAGTACTCCGGGGACGACGACCGCCGAAGCCTGCCCGAACAAGGAGGAGGAGCAGCCTCGGCCGAAACCGTGACAGTTACTGCTGCTAATAACGTTAGTAACGTTAGCACTCTGGTTAGCATGAGGCTAGCTATAGTTACCATCGGCCAACAACAGAGTTTTAGCCAGTTTGGTTATAAATTTAGATGTTCAATGTCTACTATGATGGTAAAGGTTTATCTTGATTTTGTGTAAGTATGAGAAATGCTGATGTGCTGAACTGCTAATAAGTGATGTGTTTCAAGGCTGCTAGTGGTTAGCTAGTAGGGGTAAGCCAGCAGGGGTGTAAAAGTGGCTATTCTAAAAGCTTTTCTTTTTTGCTGATACAGAATAAAGAAATAACAGGATATGGTCAGATGATAAGTTGGCTTTATTCAGAGTGCCAAAATATTTTTTTTTAAACAATGAGGACTTGGTATGATGTGGGTCTTTACTGTCTTATGTGGACAATGGCTTCACTCCTGCTGTGTATTCACTCGTGTGTTCTACTCTAGACGTCACTTTTCCGAATGCTTTTCCGACACGACTTCGGTCAAATTCGAATAAATATCAATTTCTCCCAAAATACAAATGTAAAGTAATATGTCGTATTGGGACTTTTAGTGGGAAGGATGAAACCAATCAGACTGTTTAACAGCAACCTTCCCTTTAAGGAACATCTAAAGATAGATTATCTATAGATGTTTGATTAACTATCTGAACCAAAGTGCTTCTTCAGACAACATACATAATACTTCCACTGAAATGAAGTATTATCAACTGAAAAGAAAGAGAAATCAGGGCAAAAAGATCAGGTTCATCTCACCAGGAAATTAATGGCACAAGCCAGCTGTTTGGCCACATCAAGTTTCCAACGGACCGACACTGACCCTTCCCTCTTCAGGTACAGGTCAAGGGCCCCATACTTGACAAACTCCTGCACCATGATGTCTGCAAGGTTAAGAGATGACCAGCGTAGCATGATTGGATGAGTTACAATAGCAGCAGCTCCTTGAGAGGGAGTTGAGTTGGCACTTCTCAAAACCCCCACAGAAAATGTGAACCTGCGTTAGCAGACTCTGTAAAACCTTACATTGCAGTGCCCTTAATACTGTGTAACTACTCATATAATTACATTGTATCAAGTATTATAATTACTCATTGTTACAATTATTTACAATGTATTTACAGCAGTAACCCTAACCCTGACCGTACCCCTAACCTGAGCCCTAACCCAATAAATTGTAGTTAATTTAAATTATTCATTTAAATTGTGCCTGGAATTGTGCGTTTTTTCCATTCAAGGTTTGGTGATTTTGTACTGATCTGTGAGAAGTAGAATGTTAAGTTGAGAGGTTGAGGTTTTATGGTCACTCACTCTTGGATCTGTGAACACTTAAACCCATAGACCAGGAGAAGGTGTTTGTGGGAAATCTGGCTCATCAAGCTGGCCGCTTCAAAGAATGACTTAGAGGAGAAAAACAAAATAATGTACACTTAGCATGGGTGAAAGCTGTAGCTAATCTCCTATTTTTACAGGATTTCTGCAGTAAGGTGCAACAAGGGGTTGATCTGGGCAATGGTATCCTTCCTTACTCTTTCATGTTGCAAAAAGTTATGGCCACCTGCTCTAAACCTACATATCCCATAAGGGGTTCAAAAGGCAATGAAACACATCCGATAATGACGTTTTTAGAATGACGTTATAGAATAAAATATCTGATATAACATGAGCCCAATTAACGAAACCCCTCCAAAAAGGTTCTATAGGGTTTGTGTCTGTGGATGTGAGTTTGCATACCTGCTCAATTTCTTATGACCACACCTTCCTAAATGAAAAAAAGCTCTAACTGCAACTGGTCGCTTGATTCAACTGATGGAGGCCATGCATCACATGACCCATTTTCTTTCTTTGACCTTGTCATTTTTGTTAACGAGCAATGAAATTGTGGCGTGTTGATTGCTTTTACGTTTGATCAGATCGTTTCACTCAATACTGTCATGTCTCCTCCCGTTGCTCCCCTCCGGCGCTCTGATTCGCCGGTCTACTGAGCCACCGGTCTGAGCGCACCACCTCGGCAACACCGGAATGGAAACCTAACGCACCCTGGAGGTGGAGCAATTGAAGTTGAAGATTCCTGGTGTTTGTGATGCCCGTCATTTGGTGCGACGCAGATCCGGTGGGAAGCGTGGTGAAACAGAGGTGACACAGTCTGTTCTTCTGAGCTTTGATTCAGAGTCTTTACCTAACAAAGTAATGTTAGGATGTATGCGTTATGCTGTTACAGCTTTTGTGCCGAATACACTGCAGTGTTATAGGTGTCACGTTTATAGTCATGTCGCAGCAGTGTGTAGGAGGGAGATTCCAAAATGTGGGAAGTGTGCAGGAGGACATGGGACAGAGGAATGTGCAGTTTGGGTGGGAAAAAGCTGTGTGTCAACTGTAGGGGTGCCCATGTTGCTGGGGATCGGAGGTCCAGTGCGAGAGAGGCAGGTTGAGGTGGCCAGGGTCAGAGGTGTCGTATGCTGAGACAGTAAAGAAAGTAGAGGAGGGTGGATCAAGGGTGAGGAATTCTGAGAGGATCGCTGTGAATAGTAGATCTGTGCCAGAACAGAGGGATAGGCCAATGAGTGATACACTACATGACTAAAAGTATGTGGACACCTGCCCGTCGAACATCTCATTCCAAAATCATGGGCTTAATATGGAGATGGTCCCCCCTTTGCCTCTATAACAGCCTCCACTCTTCTGGGAAGGCTTTCCACTAGATGTTGGAACATTGCTGCGGGGACTTGCTTCCTTTCAGCCACAAGAGCATTAGTGAGGTCGGGCACTGATGTTGGGTGATTAGGCCTGGCTCGCAGTTGGCATTCTAACTCACCCCAAAGGTGTTCGATGGGGTTGAGGTCAGGGCACTGTGCAGGCCAGTCAAATTCTTCCAAACCAATCTCGACAAACCATTTCTGCGGCGAGCTTTACACCACTCCAGCCGACGCTTGGCATATCATTAGGCTCTCGACGAACAGTTATTGTGCTGACGTTGCTTCCAGAGGTAGTTTGGAACTCTGTTGTGAGTGTTGCAACCGAGGACAGGTGATTTTTACGCACTCGGTGGTCCCGTTCTGTGAGCTTGTGTGGCCTACCACCTCGCGGCTGAGCCGTTGTTGTTCCTAGATGTTTCCACTTCACAATAACAGCACTTACAATTGACCGGGCAGCTCTAGCAGGGCAGAAATTTGACTTGTTGGAAAGGTGGCATCCTATGATAGTGCCACGTTGAAAGTCACTGAGCTCTTTAGTAAGGCCATTCTACTGTCAATGTTTGTCTATGGAGATTGCATGGCTGTGTGCTCGATTTTATACACCTGTCAGCAACGGGTGTTGCTGAAATAGCCGAATCCACTCATTTCAAGGGGTGTTCACATACTTTTGTATATATAGTGTATGTGTTTCAGTAAGCATTCATAGCAATGGTTATCAACTGTACCGCAGAGATGGAACATAAGTCACAGAAAATAGATGTTGTGGTGGCAGCTGCAGAGAAGTACTTGTAGGTACGAGATTTGACTTCAGAAGAGTTACAGGGTGTGTTGATTCGTTGTGGCCCGTCCTCTCAGGTCATTGGCCTTGGGTAGTCTCAGATTAGTAGTGGAATAAGGTGGTGGGTTTTAATGAGTGTAGGGTTAGTTGGTAGGGTAATAAAAAATATATAACAATGTTCCCGTTTCCCCTTTTTCCATTTTGTATCACAAAGTGTAATGGATTTATACTATAGTCCCGTGTAGCTCAGTTGGTAGAGCATGGCGCTTGCAACGCCAGGGTTGTGGGTTCGATTCCCACGGGGGGCCAGTATGAAAAAAGAAATGTATGCACTCACTAACTGTAAGTCGCTCTTGATAAGAGTGTCTGCTAAATGACTAAAATGTAAAATGTAAACGTAGTCCAGTTGGGGGCGGTAATGCAACATATTGGATGCCAACCGCTGTTAAAATCCACCGAAGAAGAAGAAGACTTGGGACTTGACTCAGACTCCAGTTTTAGTGACTTGACTGCATCTCTTGCTAAGAGATATTAAAGAATAAGTTACATATCTGACAAGATGCTCTTCTCATGTGACAACATTTCCACATAACTTTTGATTGAATTAGCCATTGACATAGAATACTTTCAAATGTTTCTTAAGTTAATGGAATTGATTTAATGAATTAATATTTGCAAGCCTTTGTTATGCTTTTGACTTGGACTGAAATAGGTGCTGGTACTCATTTTAAGTGCCGGTAATGTTTATATAAAGGTGCAGGAACTCTGCAATACTTTTTAGCTAACATTCTATGAGAACCCAAGCAGTAGAACATTTAAGATGCTGATATTCAGTTCCAGTGAGCTCCTGCCCAAGTGAAGCACTGTGTACCAGCCATGTAAGTATTTTGACAATATTTGAATTTCTGCTTGAAATACCATTAAACACAAGATAGGTCACTTTTAAAGTTCGATAATGGTCTGACAGAATGCACTACTATGCGATAAATCAGATTTAAGGCATTTCAATATCATCCATTTGCATTAAAAGGTAATGTAAGTCCTTTATATAGGATGAGATTGGGCTACTGATGAAATATTGCAAAACCTGTATGTCAAAAATAGGCCTACTTTTTTTCAAATGTTCTTCCCCACAACAAATTCTTCATTCTAAATATTGAAAGCACCAGGTTTTGTGCGTCTAAGACAAGAAACTTGGGCATGCATTGGCATTTTTCTCAACCATCAGACATTACCCAGAATAGATTCCGACCCTAAGCTTGCTTACAGCTGCACTGGGGTCGGACAGACTTCCTGTTTAGATTAAGACACTGCGGAGCCTGCGCGAGATATGGCTCGGAAAACATACCGCAATCCAGGGAAGAGAAATGTGTTGTACTCCGAATTGTCCCATTATCCCAACTGTTACACAGAGAAGATTGAACACTTGCTAGTTTTCTATCAGTCGTTCAATCTTCTCGGTGATGTGTAGTTTATTATTCAGAATGTGTAGTATTTCAATCACTGAGATCAAAACATACACTACCAGTCAAATGTTTGGACACACCTACTCATTCAAGGGATTTTCTTTATTTTTACTATTTTTTACATTGTAGAATAATAGTGAAGACATCAAAACTATGAAATAACACATATGGAATCATGTAGTAACCAAAACAGTGTTAATCAAATCAAAATATATTTAATATTTGAGATTCTTCAAATAGTCACCCTTTGCCTTGATGACAGCTTTTCACACTCTTGGCATTCTCTCAACCAGCTTCACGAGGGAGTCTCCTGGAATACATTTCAATTAACAGGTGTGCCTTTGGGGGGGGGGGGGGGGGGGGAGTATACAGAAGATAGCCCAATTCGGTAAAAGTCCAAGTCCATATTATGGCAAGAACAGCTAAAATAAGCAGAGAAACGACAGTCCATCTTTACTTTAAGACATGAAGGTCAGTCAATACGGAAAATTTCAAGAACTTTGAAAGTTTCTTCAAGTGCAGTTGCAAAAACCATCAAGCGCTATGATGAAACTGGCTCTCATGAGGACCACCACAGGAATGGAAGACCCAGAGTTACCTCTGCTGCAGAGGAAAAGTTCATTAGAGTTACCAGCCTCAGAAATTGCAGCCCAAATAAATGCTTCACAGAGTTCAAGTCACAGACACATCTCAACATCAACTGTTCAGAGGGGACTGTGTGAATCAGGCCTTCATGGTCGAATTTCTGCAAAGAAACCACTACTAAAGGACACCAATAATAAGAAGAGACCTGCTTGGGCCAAGAAACACGAGCAATGGACATTAGACCGGTGGAAATGTGTCCTTTGGTCTGGAGTCCAAATTGGAGATTTTTGATTCCAACCGCCGTGTCTTTGTGAGACGCGATGTGGGTGAACGGATGATCTCCACATGTGTAGTTCCCACCGTAAAGCATGGAGGAGGAGGTGTTATGGT